ACCTCCGCATGTGCTGCGGGCCCAGCACCCAGGAGCTGCTGTCAGAAACGATCTGGGGACACAGAGAGAGAGGCCGATGCTTGGTCACCAGAATCTGGGCGGATGCAGTGAGACCTCAAGGCCAAGAGAATCTTGATCTCACAGCTCACTCTCTTGCGTTTGGAATGGACCAGAGGGACCCCAACACAGGGGTGCTCCTGCAGTATCAGCCAAGAAGACTTTCTAAAACAATTAAGCCAGGGGCTGGGAAGGTGGCTCAGTGGTAGAGTGCTTGCCTTGCATGCCTGAGGCCCTGGGTTCGATTCCTCAGCACCACATAAGCAAAAAGAAAAAAGCCAGAAGTGGTGCTGTGGCTCAAGAGGTAGAGTGCTAGCCTTGAGCTGAAGAGCTGAGGGACAGCAACCAGGCCCAGAGTTCAGGCCCCACGACCGGACCCAAAAAAAACTCTCTGAACTCTTCTTAAAACTGTTTGCCTCTAAATCACATGCTAATGGGTGTCAAGTTTTCTTGTATGTCGTGTTCTTTGTTCTTTATTTTCTTTTTTAAAAAATGCTATTTGCAGAGTCACCTTTATTTTGGCCTTACAGGGAGTGACTTCACATTGCTCCCTCCCAGGCTGCCACGCTCTGTGTCCTGGGGCCTGCTGGTCACCCCTGCTGGTCACCCCTGCTGGTCACCCCTGCTGGTCACCCCTGCTGGTCACCCCCTTCTTTGTTGCTCTATCTTCTTCCTTGTGCCAGTGTACAGGTCCTGGGGCAGGAGGCTCAGGGCTCTGCTTCTTTCCTTGGAAGGCAGTTTGGCTCCTTAGCCCCCCACCTATGATTGTGAGGAGGGAGGAGGCCAAGGAAAGCTGGGAGCAGAGACGCCAGGGGGTTCTGTGTCATTTCTCCTGACTGCCGTCCTCTGAGGTTGGAATAGTGAACGTGCACAATTAAGAATCATGGTGGTACGAGAATCGCGGTCTTCTGCCACCACTAGATCATCATAGCTGCCTTTATTCTGAATATCAGATACAAACCCTAAACCCTGAATATCTATGTACTTGCCCTACATACACTCCTTAAAGAGTGGAAAGTTTCGTCACCTTTTGGAAAGCAACTTTAAATTGTCGTGGAACCTTGTTTAAATACTTCCTGTGATGATTAGAACATACAGACTCTGATTCCTGCTGGCCTCCACACGTGGAATTTACATCTCAAAATTGCTACAGTCTGCACTGAAACACGGAACTGATTCCTGCCCTGCAGATGTGTGCGGATGTCTGGTCTTAGTTGCCTGGGGGACAGCAGGCCGCAGAGCAGGGGCTCATGGGAGACACCTGTGCAGGGTTGAAACCACGTGCATCTTCTGCTGGGACTTCTCACTTGTCTTCATCAGATCTTTCCACAGACATCTGCCCCATCACAAACCTGATGAAGGGAACTTAGGCCCCGCACTTCCTCCGTCCACCCTCCCAACAGCGGCAATCGGCAGCCAAACAGACAACTTTGAATAGCAGGAGCTGACCAATAGGGCCAGCTGACCAGCGGTGTGGATGATTGCTTCCCCAAGAACTGAGGGGAGCCAGGGCACAGGTGCTCGGGGGCAGGCCGGACCGTCCACCCCCAGCCAGTGGTCCAGGCTAGCCCGTAGAGGGAGAGCAGATCCCCTGTGAAGAATTGAGTGACACCCAGGGTCCTCGGACTCAGAGCCCAGCTCCCGCCACCCAGGGTCATCTGCACAGGGGAATGTCGGAAAGCAGCCTGCTGGGGATTTCAATGGCTGAGACTCCACTGCATTTTACACATTTATGTTTTCCTCACTGAGACTCAACTTGGGGAAAGCACACATTTTAGTGGGAGAAGGGAATGAAGACCAAGGTAATCAGAATAAATACTGACCGTCACGTTTACGCATTATAAAATAATCCCCTGCTTTCTCTTCAATACACCATTGCTGGTCAAATATATTCCTTAAATTCAAGACTTTATGTGTAAAACCAGGATAGCAACTACATAATTCATTTAAAAACACAATACTAAGCACAAGAGAAAAGATTTGGCGTTACGGTGGCATTTTGAAGATGGTTTTAGGCATCATCAGACAGCCGGTGATTTCAAGTGGGGCCACTGCTCTCTGGAGGGCAAGCACCGGGCAGCACCCAAAGCCAGCGTGCTGAGCTGGGGCCTGGGGCCAGGAGGCCTGGAGCCCACGCCCCCCCACCCAGGCCTTCCCTCTGCCGAGGCAGACTTGTCTGCAGAGCTCTGCCCTCCTCTGTGCCTCCCACGTCTCCTTACCAGCCACGTGCTGGAGGAAAGCCTGTCCAGGAAGACAGAGGGGTCCCTGGAGAAGGAGCTGGGGAGGGGTGGCTGGGTGGGGAGGGGACGGGAGCTAGGGGTGGACAGCAGTGCAGCTGGCCTGTGACCACACCTCGATGTGACACGCTGGGGAATTCTGGACACGTGATTGGCCCACCCTGTGCCCTTACTGAAACACATCTGAAAGTGAAATGCAACACAGATGAGAAACTCTTCCGTGTGTTTCCCGTGGCTGAAAGAGAAAGGGGGGTTATTTAGGGTCTGCTGTGTGTTGGATAGGACGCGGGACGTTGTTTTGTAAATTGTAAGGAGCAATCCTGGCAGCAGGAGAGAGTAACTGGAGAGCGAGACACATGAGCGCATGTCACCCACACAAGATGAGCACGGGGCAGGCCGGGGCCGGAGGGAGGAGAGTTCCCGAGCCCATCCAGCCGTGGTGAGCTCCTGCCCGGCCCTGCTTCCCAGGCCACTCTACCTGAAGGCAGGGCCGGGCCAGCACAGATCTGGCCTCTGCTCCTGCTCTGACCTGAAATGTCCCGGGAATCCTGAGAACCCAGCGGGACCGCAGCCTCCACCCTATCCCACTGGCATGATGCCTCGACTTACCTCTCCCGCTTCAGGATTTTAACTCTTCCCAATTCAGGGCTGCACCCCAGCCCTGGGACAACCTCCAGGACCTCGGGAAATGCACCATTGCTGCTAGAGGTTAAATAACATTTTCCTGTTCCTGCGGGCTTCTGACGTCTCCGCTGTGTCCCAGGACTTGAGTAACAGTGCTACTGGTTTGGGGCTGATTCCTTGAGGCAGCTTTCCTGGCCTGTTCCTCTCCATGACCACACACTGCCCCAACCCGCCCGCCTCCACCCTGTTAGACATCCTCTAAAATACTCTAGTCAACCAGACCGCTGTGGAATGACGGCCTCCTCTGTCCCACCGCCCCGTCTCCGCGGCCTTCAGCTCGGCCATCTGTCCTTCCTGCTCCTCTCCAGCCCCTTGCTCTTTTCCATATGCCACCCGCCTCCTTCTGACTCCTAGTCTGCATTTTTGTTGGTGGTGGTGATGGTCACGGGGCTTGAACTCGGAGATGGGGTGCTCTGGGCTTTTTGTCCAGTTTGGGCCACAGCTCCACGTCCCGTTTTCTGGTGGTTCATGTGGGATAAGTGTCAGGGACGTTCCTGCCTGGGCTGGCTTTGAACCACGATCCTCAGATCTCAGCTGTTTGCAACAAATGAGTCTAGCCATCCATCTTCCCACTCTTCCATCCATTCCATCAGTGTTTTAAGTGTCTTCACGTGAGGTAGAGCTAGTCTCCTCTTCCTTCCACATGAACACGTGGCTCACGGAACACGTGGCTCTGGTCACCAGTCGCAGCTCTCTGGGATATTCCCTGGGACGCCAGTCACTTTGTCTGAATTCTTCCCCATTCAAGTCAGGATAGTGTCTTCATTATAGCATTGAACGCACATCACGTATGCGTCCCCTGCGCTGAGTGAGTTTGTGCTTCTTTATCCTGAGAGTGTGCTGACTGCACATGTTGAGTGTCTGGGTGATCTGAGCACTGAATGGCGCTGCCCGCGTCTCTGCGGTCCCTCCCCTCCTTAGCAGCACTGGTCCAGAGGCAGTGCCCATGCTCACAGCTCCATAAGAGGCAAACTCACCCCTGCCTGGGCCCAGCAGGGCTGTGTGTGTCTGACCACGGCCCTCTTGGTCCATTCAAACTTTCTTCTCATAAACCCCATAGAAAGTGGCTTCAATGCCCCGCGTGCTGGCGTGACCGTGGATGGCCGTGTCTGATGCTCTGTGCAGCCTGGCTGTGCTGGGAGGGATGGGAATGCGGTGGCACCGAGAGGTTGTTCCACAGCGTGTCAGGAGCTATGCTTGCACTGTCTGTGCTTGTCAGCCTCCGTGGGTGCAGCCTGAATGGGGAAATATGTGGGGGAAATGCGTGGTGAGCATTAATTACACTAGCACAGCTAGTGTCACACTTACTTACAAACAGCTGAGATCTAGAGTCCTCCCTCCTGAAACCCTCTGTCCACAGTACTGGGTCAGGTCACAGGGTCTAAGTTCTCACCTTCTCGTTCCTTGGAGGCCGCTCTGAGGACCCGGGAGGGGGGGTGGTTCCTGTGGATTTGCGAGTGCCCGCTGATGCAGGTCGAGGGCAGGTGCAGGTCTGGCGGAATGAGGGCCAGTCCACAGCAGGAATTCGGCCGCACTGGGAGGACACCCCTCACGGGAGAAAGGGCCTGAACCCTGCCCCCTCTCCTGTTCATGCCTAATCACATGCAACCTTCCAGTTACAAGGAGACGTGTTTTGTCTGCATATAAACTTAATAGCTCTCGGTTATAGCCTTGTTACAAAGTATACCTCGGAATCGCCCAGATATGTCCTAATCAAATCCTTGAGAAGAGAGTAATCAGATTGTCCTTTGGGACCCGCCAGCATCCCCCACTGCAGAGCACACAGGCTCCTGATTGAGCTTTCCCTGGGAGAGCGAGGTCCGCTTACTATTTGTAAATAGCACAGTGAGATGGCCTGGCCCTGGTCTCGCTCTGCCCTGGCGGGGCCTCCAGCACAGAGGAGCAGGGCCGCGCGGGACGGAGGGCCGTTGGAGACCGCCGGCCGGGGACAGCAGGCGGCCCGCGCATGGCCGTCCACACTGGCAGGACAAGGACACTGACCACATGCTACTCTGTCCCCAGATGGACCTGGACGCCGAGGAGAAGCGCCACCGCACGCGGTCCAAGGGGGTTCGAGGTACGTCCGTGTGTCCCGAGTCTCGAGTCCCACGGGACCCCCGTGGTCCCCCAAACACCGTGACCATTCACACTGACCTGCCCCGCCCCACAGCATGGCCCTGTGGGTAACTTTCTGTGGAAGAGTATGATTGCAATGGATGATACATTTTTATCTATTCTCTATCTCTCTGCAGTTCCCGTGGAGCCAGCCATACAAGAGCTGTTCAGGTTAGTGCTCTGTGGTGAAACGAATCCTTGCTAGCAATCTGGAAAAGCCGTGCCCGTTAATGGGCAAACGGATCCCCAGCTCACACAGCTTGCTCACGCCCTACTGCATGGATGAAATTAACCCCCAGAGGTCTGCTTGTGCAGAGCATTTCATGTCACACATGCATGCACACTCACACACGAACTCATGCTCCCTCACAGAGAACACATGCACATGTGCACTCATGCACACATACACTCAGACATGACCTGCATGCTCACATGCAAACGCATGCACCCTCACAGAGAGCACATGCACATGTGCACATAATACACTCAGATAAATGCACCTGCACGCTCGCATGCAAACGCATGCACCCTCACAGAGAGCACATGCACATGTGCACATAATACACTCAGATAAATGCACATGCATGCTCACATGCAAAAGCATGCATCCTCACAGAGAACACATGCACATGTGCACCCATGCACACATAGACATGCACCTGCATGCTCACATGCAAACGCATACACTCTCACAGAGAACACATACACATGTGTGCACATAATACACTCAGATAAATGTACCTGCATGCTCACATGCAAAAGCATGCACCTTCACAGAGAACACATGCACATGTGTGCACTCATGCACACATACACTCAGACATGACCTGCATGCTCACATGCAAACGCATGCACCCTCACAGAGAACACATGCACATGTGTGCACTCATGCACACATACACTCAGACATGACCTGCATGCTCACATGCAAACGCATGCACCCTCACAGAGAACACATGCACATGTGCACATAATACACTCAGATAAATGCACCTGCATGCTCACATGCAAACGCATGCACCCTTACAGAGAACACATGCACGTGTGTGCACATACATACACACAGATGAATGCACCTCAAGTTCACATATGAATTCATGCACACCCAGAGAACACATGCACATACACTCAGATGAATGCTCCTTCGAGTTCACACATGAACTCATGCACACTCTCAGAAAATACATACACATATGTGCACACATGCACATACATTCAGATGAATGTACCTACACGCTCACACATGACCTCATGCACACTCACAGAGAACACATGCACATGTGTACTCATGTGCACATACTCAGATAAATGTACCTTCAAGTTCACACATGAACTCATGCACACTCACATAGAACATGCACATGTGTGCACATACATACATACATGCAGATAGATGCACCTTCAAGTTCACACATGAACTTATACACACTCACAGAGAATACATACACATGTGTGCACATACATGCACTCAGATGAATGCACCTGCACGTTCACACACAAATTCATGCACCCTCACAGAGAACACATGCACGTGTGTGCACATACATACATACACTCAGCTGTATGCATACTCATGTTCACACTTGTACTCACGTGTGTGTGCCATACACATGTCTGCACACACATGGTGCTCTCCTCTGTGAGCAGGGGTAGAGGTGGCCGTCCCCCCTGCAGAGCGCCCCTCCTGTGTGACCAGCTGTCCTGCACGCACATGTGTGTGGGTGCAGCACACATATGCACAATGCATGCACGTGGCGGTCTCCTGTCTGGGTGGGGCGGAGGTGGCCGTCCCCCCTGCTGGCCCTCCTGTGTGACCGGCTCTGTCCTGTTGCAGCTGCCCTACTCCTGGCTGTGATGGCAGTGGACACGTCAGTGGCAAATACGCACGACACAGAAGGTAATGCCTGCATTTTTCACACATGCCATCTCAGGTAACTCGCTCAGAGACCCCACTGCAATGGTGAGGGCGCACGTGGTCCCTGGAGAGCCGCGCATGCCGCGCCGTCTTCCATCCTCTCACACCTCTGAGCGCTTCAAAAGAGCTTTGTCCCTGTACAAGTCCTCAAAGCATAAGCCATTGCAAGCGAGTGCAGGCAAAGCTGCAGAGGCACAGACGACACACGCTACGACTCGCCCCCACTGTCTGAGTGAACGGGGCTCAGTGCTCAGACACTGCCAGGCCGTCCACTGCTCCAGGGAAGGGCCGTGCCACCGCCCCTCCTCCCCTCCCCCTCCCCCTCCCCCTCCTCCCCCTCCCCCTCCTCTTTCCCTCCTCCTCCCCTCCCCCTCCACCTTCCCCTTTCCCCAGCTCCTTCTCCTCCTTTTCCTCCTCCTCCCACCATTGCTCATTCTGGAGACACAGGATGGTGGCTCTTAGGCATAAACGAAAGTGTGATTCTCAAAGAGCCCTGTCCCCCCTCCCCCAGGTAAGAGAGCTTGTCCTAGAAAGGCAAGACGGAGCTCAGCATGCTGGGAGCTGCAGGCTGGGGTCCCATGGGGGCAGAGACAGGACAGATCACACCACCACACGGGCAAAGTGAATGTCTGTGTGCACACCTCGCTCCCGGGTTCCAGGCGAACCGTGCGTCTCCGGCTCGTTTCCACGTCTCTGGTGGTGACGATTCCGGCCTCAGGTCTGACAAGGCTCCCGGGCAGACCCGTCACCTCCACTCTAAATGGGTGTGGATCTCAGGACCCCCCTCCTCACAGGCTCAGGATCCATTTCCTTTTTAGGTGAACATTAGTGTGTGGGTGAAATCAAGCAGTTACTCCGATGGTACTTTAGTCACCAATGGCCTGCGGCCCCGCGCCGGCGGGCAGGGCAGGGGCTGTTGTCGGGAGCCGGTCCTCTTGAGTACCTGTCTGATATCTTCCATGGCACACAGCAGCCCCTTTCCCAGGGCACTTCACAGTGTAAATTATTAAATTCAGTTTGTCATGTCATTATAATTAGAGGAAAAAATAGTAAATGACTGGGTCATATAACTGATAAAGAACTTAAAATGCTGTGTTGTCTTATGAAGGAGTACAAATATAAGCTCTGAATCGAGAGGTTTAAAAGGCTGCATCATGTGTTCAGCAGAAAGCATGTTAGCAAACTGAGTGTGAGATCTCCTTTTTCTTTTAATCATGTCTTGATTAGCGAGTAGTTAGACTTTATCAGACTGTTATGAGAAGAAATTATTAAATTCGGCTAAAAAAGTTTTAATTAGGTATGAGATGGGTGGAATTTCCAGGCCACAGTTTTGCACAAAAACCTTCCCGTTTCCAAATAGCACGCTGCTTTCGCTGTATCAACACGTGTCATTGTGAAGTTCAGAGCAGGTGCTGGTGTCTGTGTGTTAGCACACTCCCGGTCAAGGGTCGGAGTGGAGAAAATCCAGCCCCAGGGCCACAGAGGACTCAGTCATTTGGACAGGACAGACCCAATGCTTCTCCCGTTTCTCGCAGGCCGCTGCAGCCGCCCACCTGCACTGCGTGTTTTATATGGCCTGTAAGGGACGTTATAATGTCAAGTGGCTTTGGAAGAAAGCAGTTCGCACCCTGTGCAGTGCCGTGTTGCTCCACGCATACAGGCATCTGACCATGAGCGCTGTTTCTCTGCCTGAAGCTCGTCTCCAAGAGAGGTTTGAGGAGCAGGGCTCACTTCCACTGAACCTTGATGTGTGTGTGTGCCGGGTACGCTGGTCACCTTGCGTGTGTGCCGGGGACGCTGGTCACCTTGGGTGTGTGCCGGGGACGCTGGTCACCCTGGGTGTGTGCCGGGGACGCTGGTCACCCTGGGTGTGTGCCGGGGACGCTGGTCACCTTGGGTGTGTCCCGGGGACGCTGGTCACCTTGGGTGTGTGCCGGGGACGCTGGTCACCCTGGGTGTGTGCCGGGGACGCTGGTCACCCTGGGTGTGTGCCGGGGACGCTGGTCACCCTGCGTGTGTGCCAGGGACGCTGGTCACCCTGGGTGTGTGCCGGGGACGCTGGTCACCCTGGGTGTGTGCCGGGGACGCTGGTCACCTTGGGTGTGTCCCGGGGACGCTGGTCACCCTGGGTGTGTGCCGGGGATGCTGGTCACCCTGGGTGTGTGCCGGGGACGCTGGTCACCTTGGGTGTGTGCCGGGGACGCTGGTCACCCTGCGTGTGTGCCAGGGACGCTGGTCACCTTGGGTGTGTGCCGGGGATGCTGGTCACCCTGGGTGTGTGCCGGGGACGCTGGTCACCCTGGGTGTGTGCCGGGGACGCTGGTCACCCTGCGTGTGTGCCGGGGGCGCTGGTCACCCTGGGTGTGTGCCGGGGACGCTGGTCACCCTGGGTGTGTGCCGGGGATGCTGGTCACCCTGGGTGTGTGCCGGGGACGCTGGTCATCTTGGGTGTGTCCTGGGGACGCTGGTCACCCTGCGTGTGTGCCAGGGACGCTGGTCACCTTGCGTGTGTGCCGGGGACGCTGGTCACCTTGGGTGTGTGCCAGGGACGCTGGTCACCTTGGGTGTGTGCCAGGGACGCTGGTCACCTTGCGTGTGTGCCAGGGCGCTGGTCATCTTGGGTGTGTCCCGGGGACGCTGGCCACCCTGGGTGTGTCCCGGGGACGCTGGTCACCCTGGGTGTGTCCCGGGGACGCTGGCCACCCTGGGTGTGTCCCGGGGACGCTGGTCACCCTGGGTGTGTCCCGGGGACGCTGGTCACCCTGGGTGTGTCCCGGGGACGCTGGTGTCCCGGGGATGCTGGCCACCCTGGGTGTGTGCCGGGGACGCTGGTCACCTTGGGTGTGTGCCAGGGACGCTGGTCACCCTGGGTGTGTCCCGGGGACGCTGGTCACCTTGGGTGTGTGCCAGGGATGCTGGTCACCCTGGGTGTGTCCCGGGGACGCTGGTCATCTTGGGTGTGTCCCGGGGACGCTGGTCACCCTGGGTGTGTCCCGGGGACGCTGGTCACCTTGCGTGTGTGCCGGGGACGCTGGTCACCTTGGGTGTGTGCCAGGGACGCTGGTCACCCTGGGTGTGTCCCGGGGATGCTGGTCACCCTGGGTGTGTCCCGGGGACGCTGGTCACCCTGGGTGTGTCCCGGGGATGCTGGTCACCCTGGGTGTGTCCCGGGGATGCTGGTCACTCCCAGGACCCGGTAGGGAAAAGCTTGGAGAGGACCCAGGGACCAAAGAAGGAAAAGTTTCGAACTTTCCGACAAACACTTTGTTTGCCTCATTTTATTTTTTACCATTTTGTCAGATGTCATGCTAAGGCTCCACATATTTTAGCAGAAATAAATAGCGTTTAGCACAAAGTGTGATAGAACCAAGAGTGAGCCGTGGGGCCCCTGGGGACCTCAGGACAGTTACCCCAGGGCTCGGGGTCCCCTGGGGATCTCAGGACAGTTACCCCAGGGCTCGGGGTCCCTTGGGGATCTCAGGACAGTTACCCCAGGGCTCGGGGTCCCCTGGGGATCTCAGGACAGTTACCCCAGGGCTCGGGGTCCCCTGGGGATCTCAGGACAGTTACCCCAGGGCTCGGGGGGGGGGGCCCTGGGAACCTCAGGACAGTTACCCCAGGGCTCCAGGGGGGCCTAGGGACCTCAGGACAGTTACCCCAGGGCTCCAGGGGGGGCCCTGGGGACCTCAGGACAGTTACCCCAGGGCTCGGGGGGGCCCCTGGGGACCTCAGGACAGTTACCCCAGGGCTCGGGGGGGCCCCTGGGGACCTCAGGACAGTTACCCCAGGGCTCCAGGGGGGCCTAGGGACCGCAGGACAGTTACCCCAGGGCTCCGGGGTAGGGGGCTGGGGACCTCAGGACAGTTACCCCAGGACTCCGGGGGGGCCTAGGGACCTCAGGACAGTAACCCCAGGACTCCGGGGGGGCCTAGGGACCTCAGGACAGTAACCCCAGGGCTCTGAGGGGGGCCCCTGGGGACCTCAGGACAGTTACCCCAGGGCTCCGAGGGGGGCCCCTGGGGACCTCAGGACAGTTACCCCAGGGCTCAGGGGGCCTGAGGACCTCAGGACAGTTACCCCAGGGCTCGGGGGGGCCCCTGAGGACCTCAGGACAGTTACCCCAGGGCTCCGGGGGGGGGGGCCCTGGGGACCGCAGGACAGTTACCCCAGGGCTCGGGGGGGCCTGGGAACCTCAGGACAGTTACCCCAGGGCTCCGGGGGGGGGGGCCCTGGGGACCTCAGGACAGTTACCCCAGGGCTCGGGGGGCCCCTGGGAACCTCAGGACAGTTACCCCAGGGCTCCGGGGGGGCCCCTGGGGACCTCAGGACAGTTACCCCAGGGCTCCAGGGGGCCCTGGGGACCTCAGGACAGTTACCCCAGGGCTCCGGGGGGGGGGCCCTGGGGACCTCAGGGGGCCCCTGGGGACCTCAGGACAGTTACCCCAGGGCTCCAGGGGGGCCTAGGGACCTCAGGACAGTTACCCCAGGGCTCGGGGGGCCCTGAGGACCTCAGGACAGTTACCCCAGGGCTCCGGGGGGGCCCCTGGGGACCTCAGGACAGTTACCCCAGGGCTCCAGGGGGCCCTGGGGACCTCAGGACAGTTACCCCAGGGCTCGGGGGGCCTGGGGACCTCAGGACAGTTACCCCAGGGCTCCGGGGGGGGCCCTGGGGACCTCAGGACAGTTACCCCAGGGCTCCGAGGGGGCCCCTGGGGACCTCAGGACAGTTACCCCAGGGCTCCGGGGGGGGCCCCTGGGGACCTCAGGACAGTTACCCCAGGGCTCCGGGGGGGGCCCTGGGGACCTCAGGACAGTTACCCCAGGGCTCCAGGGGGGCCTAGGGACCTCAGGACAGTTACCCCAGGGCTCGGGGGGCCCTGAGGACCTCAGGACAGTTACCCCAGGGCTCCGGGGGGGCCCCTGGGGACCTCAGGACAGTTACTCCAGGGCTCCAGGGGGGCCTGGGGACCTCAGGACAGTTA